TATCAGCAATTATCTGAGGAAGGAACTGGCTGACGTTCTGGTATGTTACAAAAATAGAAATGTAATACCTAATTTTAAGGCAGGTACTCAGAATTAAAACATATTCAAGGCTTATGTTCAAAGCCAACATGGCTTGGGAGCGACAGAGAACAATGCTGACACCAAGTGGAAGAAAACTCTGCCAGCTTCAGTCTCTACCGCAGACTTGAGACACACAAAAATCTGAGAGCCACAAGTCTTCGGTTCAGCGTTCTGGTGAATTTAACACGTCAGAGCAAGACCACACAGCTCATCTGGAAGTAGAGATTTTTGTCATCCCAATGTGTACGCTAGCTGATAAATTATCCTCCTCTCCCTTGTAGTGTAGCTGACCTTAGTAAGCGGAGCAAGCATCCAGCTGCCACTCTAAAACATATGCAGCATTACCCTCCCCTTCACCAACTGCATATAATACTCCTTGATCTGTAATCAATACAAATACTGCAAGTCTGACCGTGGTAGGGGCTTTTCAGATGCTCTGTGCACAACAAAACTGACAACAGGCATTCACAGACTGAAAAGTAACCCAGACAACTTCCCATTATTCCTTAGCAGGTGCCTGCATGAACATGTTTTCCAAGTCAGGAAAGGTATGCACTGGTGACCAGTTTTAGAAAGACCTTCCTCTCTCACACGCTTTTATATTGTTATCGAATGACAAACAGAAGACAGCCAGTGTAATCAGCTAGCATGATCACTGCACAGCTCTATTCTTGTACATCCTTTACAGCACCACAGCAATTGGCGAAAATGGGCACCAGGCATACTTCTCCTTTCAGCGATACAGACCTCCAGTACAAAGAAAAGTCTGCTGCAGATCACAGGCATGGCACAGAAATACCATCTTACTTGCACCATTCCCCCTGCCTACAGGCAGAAAGGCTCTAGCACTGAAGATCTGAAAACTAGTAACGAATGTTCCTGAATGACATCCACTTTGGTCATTTTCTTTATGTCACGTTTGCCCAGGCTACGGCGCACTTCATCAAATCCTTATGGCTACAATCAATAAAATACTCTGCACCGTTTTTCCAGAAGAAAAATTACATCTTTACAATTTATCGTCCACAACTTTTGTGGAGATCCAGGTTCCACTTTGATCCTAAACGGACGGCATGTTTTATCCAGTCTTCTGGCTTGGGTATTACCCAAACACAAAATTAAAACTTAAATGAGTCCATGCTTTTGCTAAATTTACAAAGTTAAAGGAAAACACATTTTTGTGGAACGGGAAGTAATATAAAGGAATCCTTCTACAACATAACAGCGGTCCCTACAAAAACACTGACAAATCTCCCGGCAGTTCATGTGGGATACATGGGATTTGCTATGTTCATGTGCAAACCCAACTAAAATTTCTCTTTGCTAAGCAAGGAAATTAAATGAAAAAAATAGTCAAGATCTGCACCAATTTAAACTAAGGAAATATTGCTAATAGCCACAAATTGTTGGAACAACGTTCCCCTATCCAAGAAAAATGACTTGGACAAGACGTTTTAATCTCATCTGGAAATTTCAGTTTACAGGATAACGAGATGCTGGTTTGGGGGTTTTTCAAAAGGTTTCAACTAATTTCTCAAGCATTGTCATGGGATTAGTGAAGGAAGACATCAGTTAAATCATTAGCCATCCCCCAAATTAAGGACAGTCTAGCTGGGAGATCACAACTCTCTGTTAGGCAACTTTAGAGAGAAGTGAGGCAATCACGCGTTTTCTCAAAACTGGATTAATGCTGAAACACCCACTTCCTCTTTGAAAAGACTTAAAACCCCGAGGTTGTCAAAACCCTCTAGACCACAAAAGCCTTCCCAACAAAACTGTAATTCAAATAGATAACGTCTCCTTGAAATACTCAGTTGCAGTGTTCCAACCAACTCAAAGCCACGCTGCCTTGTTTCAGAAACCAGCTCGAAGGTGGCCGTGGCCGTCCAACGGGTTTAGGGAAGAGCTTCCCTTGTGCAGGATGGCCCCTCCTTTCACCAGCCCCCAGCATCTCTGCACTCTCTTTTTAACACGCCTCCGCTACTGCTGGGACTAGCTAGACGAGATCCATTCAACAGGTAGTCCCTGCAGCCTTGCTAATGTGAAGTGAAGCATGCATAAAGGACAAGAAAGAAAACTAGAAACGAGAGTAGTCTGTTTCCTCAAGGTGTAGGCTTTCCTTCTAACTAGTCCCATGCTTTGATGGAGAGACGTGCAGTGGCTTGTACACACCCACAAAGTCATGCTTCTGTTTGTTAGCAGGACAAAGGCGGCATGAATAATTCAGGAAGTATTTATCTATGATTTCTGTACAGAAAGGGAATGTGAAAAAAAACCTGCCCACCTAGAGGCAAAAAGTTCCATAGTCCCCCTTATCTAGACTATAACGATTCAGAAATGATGAGAGGAGAGAGCATGAAAAATTACTATGAGCAAGGTTGGTTGACAGTTTAATTACATTATAGAAGTTAAGCTAACCTTATACACCTCCAACACAGCTAGTGATACGCTTCAGGTTGAACACAGCTACCTAGAGAGGCCTCAGGTCAAAACAAACACTGAATAGTCTAACTTCTTTTTTTAAGAATGATTTAAATCAAATGGGAGAATCAGTTCAGTGCTAGCACAGATTGTGACCTATGACAGAAGATTACGGAACAGCTTTAAACGTTAGTGGACATTAAAAAAAGTCTGTCAGGATTTTACAGCATTCCAACTATACACCAAGAAGAACAAAATAGAACGTACAAGGTACAGTGACCAGGAAAGAGGACAAACTAAAACACATAGTAGCTTGGATACATCTTTTAAACAACTATATTTGGATGGAAGAGGTGGGTGTAGACAGTCTACTATCCAACCCAGAGTAACAGTTCAGAACTACTGGATTGGCACTTTCAAAAACTTTCATTTTTGTCCCCCAAACACTCATCCTGAACCAGCCGGCAGAGGCAGAGTAGATGAGATGATAGGAAGTGTTACTGTTGTACGCTCTCAGCACTCCAAGACATACTAAGCGCTCTGCCCAGGAACAGTGACTCTTTATCTTTCTGAGGCTACAAACCACAGAACTGCAGGTAGAGTGTATGTCAGCTGTAATGGCATGCCTGCCAGATTGGCATGGCTTTGTTAAGGCTTTACTAATTAGGGCATCATAAGGCAGTAATGAGTGGTGGGGGGCGGGGGGTTGGGAGAAAGAAGACAGAGGTAGAAGACAGACACATCCACTTTGGTAAAGGAAAAAAAAAATCCCATGAATTAAGTAATCCGGATGTAAGTATCAGTGTAACTGCTTCAAGTTATTTCATGAGAAACAGCCAATAAAAGCAAGCTTCATTTCCAGGAAGCAACAAGGGATCTGTGCCAGTATGCCATTTCACTTTTTGCTTGCTTTGCTGGAACTACTGCATACACTTTTCAAGTTTAGTTTGTAAACCTCACTTTAATGTTTCCAGTTTAGCGGACTTTGAGCAATTGCTGTATTATGAAAGAGGAAGGATACCTAGCCAACGTGCTGGGCTTCCTCCTGCCAGAAATTACAAAAACAAGAATCAATCACAGAAGACTGAACTCCCTTCTCACCCACAGATGGGATTTCTTTCATAAGCTTACCTCAGAGCAGGAGAGCGCCTCATGGCTATGCCTCGTCTGGGGTTTTATTAAGGAACCTGAAAGAATCTTTTCAGTAGAATTCTTTCCCACATCACCACAATTCCAGACAGACTGTGACATTTTGAAGAATTACAGGGATTGAAGTTGCTTCTAAAACAAAGGCGTTGCGATAGAAAGCCAGGGCTCCTGGCTTCTCTTAATTCCTTCCAACTTCCTTTAGCTGCTGACGCTTCTTATTCTACCTAGTTTTGCAGACAGAGGCAGATATAATGGGCTAGCTAACATTCAGATCTTAGATGATCATTTGAGTACAGGTTGCAGGAATTCTCAGCAACAGTATTGGCACTGGCCACCTTCAGGGGGAGAAGTGTTGAGAGGAGCTAGTGCTGTGGGCTCCAACACCGTTTTTCTGTTAATGACCCTATTTTTAGATTAGGGCCACATCCTGTAACATAGGAGAAACATTTCAGAAACATCCTCATGCAGTTAAGGTTGTACAGGAATTATTTTAAAAGAGGTGTTCCAAGGAGCAAAACACTAGGCATTACAGTCTCCATACTCTGTTTTCGGACATACGATATGCTATAAATACTAAATATCATTTTGTGTTAGAAGTTCACTGGCTTTCCTTATCAGAGATATTTGGAGAGAGAAGCTGAGGAAGTAAGAAGTCAAACACAAGAACACTAAGAGCCAGAGTTACATTCAGCGCAAATCTCTCATAACCCTTCACCTGATCTGGCATGCTGCTTTTGAAGAACTCCTGAACTACAAGGATGTGTGCTAACTTCACTGTGTAGTATTAGACTGCCGGTTCTGCTACTACATTTCCCTCAAGCTTTTTTCCAATGAACAACTTCTTGTTAAGTGGTTTATCATTCTTTCACCAGGAGGTTTTTGACAAACAAGGAATTAAAGTAGTAATGTTGTTTCAGAAAAGAACGTGTCCAAGGAGAGGCTGAAACATACTCAGCGACTTCTGAAAAGGTTAAGAGGGATTTCATCCTTCTGCTTTTGCTTTCCTGCTTCACCAATGCATAGCCCAACACACACACAAACACACAAAGCATTTTTCTTGAAGGAAACTCCAGCGGCACTGATGAAACTAAGTTCTGCGTTAAGAAATCTCAAGTGGAAAAAGTTAGCATTTTATTCTTCACCTTTCAGTTTCCCCTTGCATTCCTTACAAAATCAGAAGTTTAAACACTCGTGTTTCTCTTCTAGCTTAGGCACGCAACTGATCCTCGCATTGCTGGCAACAAGCTATAGTTATTAACTGCTCTATGCGTAAGCAAATATATTTCTAGGTTATAGTCTAACGAAGCACTTTCAATTCCTTGCTGAACCAATTAACGTAACTTTCTTACCTGAGGGTCATCTGCTTGTCTCAGTGAGAAACAAGGGTTCAAGTCAACAAAAAACATCTCATAGTGTTGAAGCAAATACAGCAGGAAGCCATTGTAAAGCCTTTGTTCTTCCCAAGCCAAGGGACTTGCTGGGATCCTAAGGGAAGAGCAGGTGGATTAAGTTTAGCAGCTCTCAGATCACAGTCAAGTGACTATTCACCCAGGGAGTCCCCAGTACCCTTGATAATTCAGCAAAGCAGCCAACGGGGGGACTGTATAAAATGGTGCTCCAGCACCATTTCCAGCAAGCGACTGTTGGGGCAAGGACCATCTTCATTTAGTGGGATCACAATGCTGGGAGCCTCACAGTGATGAGGCTCCAGTTCGATGGGCAGTTTGCATTGCGTTGAAGCTTCTGAGGCAGCCTAACAAAATAGCTGGAACAAGTAATAATTCAGCCCCGTAGGTCATAAAAACCAAGGATGAAGAGGACAAAAAAAACCCTGGAACCTGCCACCGCTACACGGCTGAGAAATTGTTCTCGAGGTGGAAGAGAGCTGTTTGTGTTGTTTCAGCTTAGTTTACGAGGGTGGACTTCACCAGCTGGAATAAGATCTTCTTGTCAAAATTGCCTGGAAAAAAACACTAGGTAAGAGTCTGCTTCAGTATAATAATCTGTAATTTCACAAATTACAGGCACATGCACTGGAACTTCTGGATATTTGCAGTAACGTGTGTGTGTGTGTGTTTTTAAGTAGCAGCTGTACTATCCACATAAGTAGTCTAAGTCAGAATAAATTAATTATAGTCAGAAGATTCATTATGTGGAACTGTACTCTTATTTCCTGAAGGAACTACATATTCCCCTCATGAACTATTCTGGAGGCTTGGAGAACATTTACATAAACGCTGTCAACTAATTCAGCCTCCTCAGCCATGCTGCACGAACTCAGTTCCACCCAGCACGATATTAATATTTAAATAAGAAATTCATGAACACTGGAGACTAAAGCAGAGCCATACGCACATCATTCTTGTTTGCCAAATCTGGCAGTGCGTTTATTATTCAGCTGTGATTTTAAAGGACAGACACACACACAGAGTCCAGTTCAAGTGCTTTCATTCATGAACTCCTTTGTAAACTTACTGTTGTGTCTGTAAGAACTCGAGTTTGGGATTCTTTTGAATGAGGATGGTTTAAGCAGAGTTATAAACAGGCACGGCCTTAGAAAGATTTACAGGACAAACTACTGTATCATTTCTCCTTCTTGGACCCCTCTTTCTCTTCCCCTCAGAAAGAGGGATCCAAGTGCCTCAAAAAGTCCCCTGCCTTCTTTTTCAGCTTCTTTAACTTGAGATTGGTTCCCTAATCCATCTGTACCAACTGTTAACTCCCTACTGGCAAGGACCGCTCCACAACCGTTTGCGAAGACAAACGGCTCTCCTCTCTTGCCAGGGGCCCTCTTTCCTTTACTAGCAGCCTACATCTTGGGCACCCAGTTCTCAGACACAACGGTAATTTAAAAAAAAGTCACGTTGTCAATTCAAATCAAAAGCATGCTCTGGAGCGTTACTCTCCAGTTGGCTCCAAACATCAATGTCTTCTCATCCTCAGACCACCATAGGTGACAATACATCGATAATACAAATTGGGGAAAATATACTTCTATGCATTCATATTTCATAACAACTTCCAATTAGTTTAGTGAAACAATCACTTACTGCATCTTCAGATACTTAGCTGATAGGTAGTATAGCTATATTGTCAGGCTGACAGTAGGGGAACCGTGTTTACACACAGCTGAACTCAGGACACGTTGCTAGGAAGAGCACAGCTATCAAGCATATTCTGCACTTCATCCAAAAAAACCCTACCATCAGTTGTAGCGCAAATCACACTCGCCACAAGGGGTAACAATCAAAACTCGAGCAACAGGAATCAACTACTGATTTCCTTGAGGGAATGGAGACCTTTCAAAAAGCTGCTCTGCTACAATGCTAAGCTAAAATACCCATGCAGCTCACGCCTTGGCTTTTTTCAGTAGATTTGCTAAGGGTCCTGCTGGCTTCTGTATGAAGATCAGGTCAACAAGTCTGCAAATTTTCAGAAAAAATGAGTCCAAGTGAGTAGAAGCCAACAGACAGTTGGCTGCTATCCTTACGCACTTATGCAAGAATTGCTTACTGACGTTATTAGCAAATACCTATTTGAAGATGAGGCATAGCAAAGCACCCACAGAAATTCAAGCAGTTATCAGTCCAATCTCTGATAAAACGCTTTCTCCTCAGACTTTAAATGTACCAGTGCAAGGAGAGATCAGCAAGGCACAACAAAGCAGCTGGCAAGAGGAAGGAGGAAAAGCAACAGAAAGAAATATGTCAGAAAATGAGCAGAAAGATATCAACAGTTTGAAGTGGTGGAAGAGTAGAGCTTAGCAAAGGAAGTCTAGGGAGTGGCCAGTCTGACACAACCTCAGAATTACTTTTTTAATTCCCTTACATACAGGAAGGTGAGAACAGGAATGCGGCATCATGCAGATGTTGAGAATGAAGTCTCAAAAGGAAAGCAATCTTGGGAGTGCTGGATGAGCAACTACGCAACAGTGAAGGTAGCTTCATTTAGTATCTGGGGGAGAAAAATAGCATGAGGGAGGGAGGCTGGCAGAAGAAACCAGGAGGAGGAGGTTTGCCAGGATGATAAAAGTAAAATTGTAACATTTCACTCGGTTCTTCTTCTTCTGAGGCTTAACTCCTTGTCTTATTCCCACTTTGGGTCCCCTCACCCTAACAGGCATGGAAAATACATACGCTAGAAATATTGTAAAAGAGTAACTCCAATACAAAGATGATTTACATCAAACATTCAAAATAAGCAGCATTAAAGTGAGGTGCTGCAACAGATTAAAAATAGAGAGTTTATTTAATCCTGTTTCCACATGATCCATGCTATTAGTTTTCTAGCATTTAAAATTCTTAATGACAGCTCTCTGTGATCCTTCCAATTTAACACCTGTACTAGGGCTTACACTTTGTTTTGCAATTACTGTAGTTACTAATTGCAAGGGATATGCAGTTTCGTTTTGTACAGTGTAGTCAGCAGCAAGTTTTATACTCTAGTTTTGTGTCCCCAAAGCCCATAGATGTCCCAAGTACTGAATATTCAAACCCAGTCACTTCACTGAAACCAGAGATACGACAGGTCTCTACAGATGTGTCAACAGACTGAGACAGCTGGTAATCATAGGTAGAATTTACACTTCAATAAAACTGGTTCAACAATTTAAAATACAGAGATTTATAAACAATCTACTTTACTTTGCTTAACATCAAAGCAGGAAAAAGTAATTGCATGAAGATGTAAACGGCCAGAACGCATGCAGAACAGTTTTAATTAGCACGTATCACAAGAGGCTCGGGTGGGGTGGCTGAGCCCATCAAGGAGCATCCCAGTATTTCGGTCCCCACAGCACTCCACGCTACAGGAAGGGCGCGGGGCTGGGGGTAGAGGCTTACCAACGCCTTCACAAATACCGGCCCAGAACAAATAACAAAGCTTAATATGTAGCACCAGCAGAAATAACAATTAAGACTTAGTCGTAACAGCAGTATCTAATTAATCGATCAGTAACTATACATTCAACTCCACATACAACACGGAACAGAAATGTTTACAAGCGTGTATACGTATGCGTGTGCATATATACAAACACGAGCTCAAACCGGTAAGGGGAAAGGTACCTGGTGGTTACACCGGAAGGCGCGGGGGGGG